GGGTATACCAGAGGAAATGCACTTGAAACTAGCATTTCAAAAATATTAAATATAGATATTCTCAAAATTGATTACTCTGGGATTTTTTAAAACTTATCATTTAAGAAAATAAGTATATAAGTTTTCAAAACCACAAATAATTCACTGATGAAAGAAGAATTGAAGCAGATTTTATATGAGATTGCTTAATGAAATGACCATGTTTGGCATGATAAGAAATGAAAATAGCTCTTTAAGGGAATTATCTATCCTTTGACATTTCTCATCGGCTCTAGGTGCTTCTAAGTTTGTCTTGAAAAATCAAATTAACTAATACTTTTTAAAATAGGTCCTGACATATAGTATATGCCCGAAATGTAAGCTATTGCTATTATTATTACCATTATTATTATTATTAATAGCTTCATGGTGAATTAGAGTTGGCAAAAGGTGTGATGCAGAAACAAAATTCAAACCTTAGGTTAAATAAAGCAGATAAGAATCATCCACAAATATTTTTCTCTAATATGCTTTTGTAATTTTATAAAGTAACAGACCAAAATTTTTATTATTGCTGTGCAAAGCACTTCTTTCACATCCTAAATTTTCTAATTTTAAATTTTCCTGCATGTACAAGTGTTGCCTAAAAGGGTTATACTCATATACCTACTTTTGAACTTAGTTATGCTAGAAGAGTATTTAATGTTCAATATTACGCTGGTATTTTTCTTTTCTTTTTTCATGTAGAGGCCCAATTTGTTTTCCAGGCAATACCAAAGGAAACTGGTAAAAACAATCAGTGTAACAAGCCCAGTTTCACTTCCTATATCTTATTTCAGTTCTGTAAATCCTAATCCTGCACATCGGGAGTTATAAATCTGATTCAGGAATTGAAGATTAAATAGCGTCCCAACATTTTCCAGGGTAGAAATGAAGGGAAGGTGATCAAATAGCTGTGGGTGATTTGCCAATGGGCTTCTGCGCAGAAACATTTCACCCAGCTGATAACAGGAAATCAGATTAACCATATGGAATATGTATACTGGGAACAAGATGTTGACATCTAAATTAATGGTTCTTGTTAGGGCTTTGGGGACCCCCAGATTCCTGCTCATTTTGTGAGTGAGACGCAGGCAGGATGAAATGGGAGACAGAGCTGAGTTCCAGTTCAGCTCTTTTCTAAACATGAATCATCAGGCAAGTTTCCTAACTTCTCCCTCTTAGCCTTCATCTCATCTGTAAAGAAATAAAGCTCAGTGTCTGGCATACAGCAGTTGTTTGATATATGACAGTAAATTTAATCTGAGTCACCAAACTGGCTTAAGCATTAAAAAAATAGATATTTACTCCTCAAAATCCTTACGTAAAAGAAATTCAATTGAAAAGTATAAATATTTGTGGGTTTTCTTTTATATTGCAATGGGATATTTCCCAAAATGGAGTAGATCACAACACCCACTCACATGAGTATTTTCTAAATTCTTCCCTAATATATCCCAATAAATATCAAACACTGTAAATACCTTTCTTCATATATATATATATATCCTCTGTTTTACTTGTTTTAAATTCCCCGTCAGACCTTTTGTTTCCTAATGCATGATATTTTTGACTTAAAGGCAGGAAGTACTACAGATCTCATTAGAGATGTCCCTCTTATCCAGATTCCAGTTAAAATTTGCTGACTAAAATTCCTGTAAGAATCAAGTAAGTCTCGGAGGTGAACTCGGCCTCTGAATCCCTCGGGGCTTGTTTGCTGTGCTGATGGACACAACAGCAGCACTTGCTGGTTAGGGAAGCATTTCTGCAGTGCTAGTCTGCAGCGGAGGATGGGAACCAGGAAACGAGTCTGTAGCCAGGCTGAGCTGCTGTCCACTCCTAGTACCCCTTTCTTCTATGTAGCTGGTGAAGAGAATAAAAAGCAACTTGTGCTCTGTCCCTTGGCTTCAAGAAAGCCAGAAAACAAGTAAAAAATGGAAAAGTCAAGGCAACACAACCCACAAACAGGATTTGCAAAAAAACACACTGAACTGAAACCATTGCATAATCATCCTGATTTGATCATCATGTATTGTACACGGGTGTTGATAATCAATTCTGTACCCCACAGATATGTACAATCAATTATTTCAGTTGGAAAAAAAAACAACCCGAAAATATTCCTACTCTGATACAGAAGAAAACTTTAAAAAGTTCATGGAGGGCCGGTCCAGTGGTGTACTGCTACAGTGCGCCGCTTGGGAAGCGCGGTGGTGCTCCCGCCGAGGGTTCGGATCCCACATACAGACTGGCCGCTCACTGGCTGAGCGAGGTGTGGGAGCAACACCGAGGGTTGCGATCCCTTGCCGGTCCCGGTCCGGTACGGGCGCGACACTGAGGGTTGCGATCCGTTGCCGGTCACGAAAAAAGACAAAAAGGAAAAAATAAAAATAAAAAAAATAAAAAATAAATAAAAAGTTCATGGAAAGATTCATATTATTGTCCAGTTCTCTTTTTCCATGAACTTTTTGAAGGGCCCTCATATGTTTCTCTCATCCATGCAGGTGTGCACAAAATAACCC